CTGCTGTGTATACTTTTGATAGAGTTTTTAATCTCCTGGTTATCTGTTTGAATCTGTTTCATGGATTCCATTTCTTTCCTATGTTGGGTGTTCCTGGTTTCCGTTTCCTTCTTATGCTGGGCATTCATGGCTTCTGTCATGGTCCTGAACTCATCTATTTTTTTTTTTACCTGCTTCTGTTCTAGAGTCTCTAATCATGTCTTTCATTCTGCTCACCATCTCTGTAGTTATCCGGGAAATTATTTCTATTTTGAATTTTTCTAGAGCCTCATTCATCTGTTTTGTTACTTACTGTGCTATCAGTTCAGGGTGTCAAGGTGGTTGATTATCAGACTTTTCTACCTCATTTCCCCCAGAATATGCCTTTGGTGAGCTAGAAGTCTGGGGTTGTGCCTTGCTTAGGTGTCTTCTCATTTTAATTTTTGTTGTTGGTACAGTCCTTGGTTAAATTCCTGGGTTGATACTTTGATAATGCTTATTGTAAGTATCTTTGTTGCCTATATTTAGAACCCTTATGGAATTATTGCTTCAGAATGATTGCTTCCATATATAGCTGGTCTTTAGGTTTTGAGTCTCTAGTGACTCTGGGGCAATCTCATTTTCATTATACCAAAATAACTGATTAGATCAATCACAAGAGCTTAGCCCAAGTGATACAATTAGCAACAACAATAGTATCAAACACAGTTTAGAAAATGACAATTTGTGGTAGTTATTAATCTGTCACCATTAATCATGTGAATTAAATCAAAATCAAGGATCAGCCCAAAATATGTTTATACTGAATAAACTCTTCAATATAGCAACTTTACCCTTTGGATGGGGACTTAGAAGGAGTTGGGGAGAGAGGGATAGATAGGTCAAAGGATAGGGAAAGGTTAGAAGTGAGGCCAGAGGACATAGGAAGATCATGTAAACTCCAGGGAACTGTTGAAAACAAGAGGAAAAGACAGAATGGAAGAACAAAGACAGGAACAGAACAACCTAACAGCAATAGAGAAGCTAGAAACTGTAATAAAAAGGGAGATGAAGAACAATGTGGGAGAGCAAGAGAGTAAGAGTGAAAGGAAGAGAGAAAGAAAAGTTTAAAAAAAGAAAAAGAAGAGTGAGAAAAAATTGAGAAGAGTAGAGAAAAATTGAAAAATAAAAATTAAAAATAAGAGAAAAAATAATTTTGAAAATAAAAATAAAGCGCCTCCTTCAGGGTATGTCTCTGCTGTCACAATAAACAACATGGGCCACAGTGTGCAGATCAAAGTCAATTAGTCTCACCAAGCCAGTAGCAGACCCTTGAGATTCAGGCTGATTTCTGGCTGCAAGGCCCAAGTTGAGTTCCCTGTCGTCCTGCAGGGTTGAGCTCTGCAAAGTTCTACTGCAGGTTCCAGCTGCCCTTCCTCTGAAGATAGTCCAGGTTCAGATGGGAGGTGGTGATCCCTCCAACTTACCAACTACAATGGTCTGGTGTGCCTTTATTGCAGAGATTCTTTTCACTTTTTCAGTGGGCTTCAATTTTCATCAAGGAGCCTGAGAGAGGCACTCTTTCTGTTGTTCACTTCTGCTATATCTTCTGGAGCTCAGGACAATGGCCTTTATGAGCCCCTGTGCCTCTGCAGTGTGGATCCAGGTACAGGCTCAGTCCCGAGGCCAGAGGCGGGGTGGGGGCTGGGGTGATGCTGCAGGTGCCCCTGTGGCTGGCTCCTCACCTGACCACTCCTGGCTGGGAGGTGCAGGTGGGGGCGGGGCAGTGCCAATAGCTCCACGAGGCTCTCAAAATAATATTTGTAAAAGGCTGGAGCGGTAGCTCAATAGTTAAGTGCCTGCCTGGCATGCATGAGGCCCTGAGTCTCAGCAGGGTCCTAGTGTCCCCAACTCCTTTCTTCAGTATTCCCCCACATGCCCAACTTCCAACTCTCGGGAGCCTTCTCTCTTGGGGCAGAAACATGGGTGGTTCTGAAATTTCTGAAGGAAAACCATGCACGGAGTTGTGCCTGGGAGTTGGTGCGCCAGCTCCAGGGCCTCAGTGGCTGCGAAGGCAGCGGGCATCTCCACTCACCAGACTCTCCATTTGCCTCATTAATCAGCTCCCAGGTCATCCGTGTGTCTTGCCTCAGGCTCGTAGGTCTGGTTTTTGTATAGTACACATTTCCCCTCGTTTTTATTTCATCTGTTTTTCAAGCAGCCTTTCTCTTATTTTTGAACATTTCGGGGGGGGGGGGGTTAAATGTAAATTACAGACGCCTGTGGATTGACGTAATGTGAAAAGAAGGCGGCTGTTTCCCCTCCCTCCAAACAGGGAACGTGGCTTTTAAAACTAATAACACCGTTAAACCTCACGAAACCCATTTCAACCATTTCCAGTGGCCGTTTTCAGAAGGGAAAAGGACAAAGCAGAGGCAAGGAGAAGTGTTTGAGGCCAGGACCCGGCAGGGGCTGGGGTTGCTCCCAGCAGTGCAAGTGGAGCCTGTCCCTCCCCCAGGGAGCCCCCAGTCTGGGGACCAGCCTCCTAAGTCCTAGTAAGGAGGAGAGGTCTGTAGGTGCGGGAGGGAGTTCACAGTACCTGCAGGTTCTATAGAAGGTGCAAACAGAGATCATGAGGCCAGTGGGAGGGAGAGCAATCACTAGGATCAGGTGGTCCTAAGGAATCTACCTGGGAGGCAGAGCCCACATTGCCTGCCTTCTCTGGAAACAGGAAGTGAATGTGGAAGGAGCCTGTGGAGGTGGAGTTATGGATAGCTGGGAGTTCTGGGGCAACAACAAAATACATGAATCAGGACTGAGCTGACCTCCAGTGTAGGCAAGACTCTTGTGTTTCTGGACACACACAGGGAGGACAGGCCCACTCATCATTCTTAGAGACAGAGTCAATGGTCACTTTGTTTTCCCAGAGGGCTCTGGCTGGCTGTCTACTCAGGTACCAGGTCCTCTTCTGCCTACAGCCCTGAGCCAAGCAGATGGCAGAGAGACAGACACCTAGAAGGTATCCATCGTTTCTATTGAATAAATGAAGATACTAATATATGAATGTATGAAGGCGTGAAGGGAGTAAACATCTTCTGAGTCACTGTAACCCTTCTGATAGGTAAGGGAACCTTTTCTCCAAGAACACCAAGATTATACTCCCCCAACAGGGCCACCATGTACAGTTGCACAGGTACCAGGGATTCAAATAAAACACTTGCATCCAAAGTGGCATGTCATTCAGCAAGCAAAACTTTCCAATAGCAGTTGGGAAGTCTCTCTCTTGTGCTTTCTCTTTCTTGGGTTCAGTTGGCTGGGATTTGAAAATTACAGAGGGTAGAAAGGACAGCAAAGTCCACTTGGGAGTACCCCAGGGAGAGGCTGACGGGAGACACCCTGAGCTTCCCACATGTGCTGATCTTTCTAGAAGCTGAAAGCAGATCTTTGGGGTTTCTGGATTTGCCTCCCAGAGAGATAGATCACCAATAAATCAGCCAGAACTTCCCTTCTATTACAGTCTGCTTTGAAAATAATTTCTTCAGTGTTTCCACCTCCCAATCCACCAAGGAGGCTTTAAAATTTAGGAAATTGAGCTCTTTCTGCCACACTCATGCCAAGGACACTGTTACGGACCTCCAGGGAACTACTTCCTGTCCCTGGGAATCATGCTTTCCCCTACATAGCATGGAGGATATGAGTGGAGATAAGGATCGCTTGAGCAGAAAGTGAGAGAGGGTCAGCCCCTCCTTGGCTGAAGCCACAGAGATGTGTTTCGGTCGCCACTCCAGAGCCAACTGTAGGTGTCCCTGCAGCTTGACCTGGTGGTATGGGTGCTTCATCATTGTCAAGCTACTCTGGAGCAGAGGCTAAGGCCTCACAGAGCTAAAACTCTTCAAGCTAAAAGCAAAATCACTTTGAAAAATACGACTGCTTATCAATTTTATTCACCTCCTACTTCAATGTGAAAAATGCTCCAGAGGGAGGTTTTCTGAGCAAAGGCCAGGATTTACTGTGTATTTCCCACAAACAGGGCTCACTGGCCTGTTCTGTGAGAAATGAAACCCAGAGCACCCACCCAGCTGGCCTCACAGGCCAAAAGGAGTCTAAGCCAGATTAAAAACTCCACTTCAGTACTTTTTTACTGCTGGAGTGGGTTGGAGAGCTGTCAATGGGCAGGAAAATAGCACATCTGGAATGTGACTCTGTCCTTGAGTTGGCTGGTATAACTCAACATGTACGTCAGATCTTTTTTTGGTGGGTTTTTTTTTTAATGGCCAAGATTTATCTGGCTTCTATTCATTTTTTTAAGTCCAGGGTGAATATTATTGTTAAGTTCTAGACTTTTACATTTGTGTAAATTAAAAGCCATATTTCACTCCAGAGCAGATGGCTTGCTTGCCTCAAGGTTAAAAAAAAAAATGGCACAACTAATAGCAGTAGTATCTAAGACACTGGTTACCCAACTCACTCAGAAGATAGTAAAAGAGAAAGTTCTTTTGATTTTCTTCACCTAAGCTATATCCCCTTTGTGCCTTTATAAAATCTGGTTCTGGAAAAGTCAGCGCCAAGATGTTCAAACTGAAAGTAGACTTGTGGATGAATTTAGTCACATTCTAACCATGGCAACAAGAGGCTATTATAGACCTATGTGCACCAAGCAGATAGGTTTGTAAAACCGATACAGCCATTTTTTAACTCCTAAAAAGTTTTGAGACAAAAGACAGTGATCTCTTGCTTGGTTCTGGGGCCAATATCAGTTCTGACCAGAAGGGAATGTCTTTCTTTCTCATGCAAGTCCACACTTGGGGTTTGCTGTTAGTTTAAAAGCAAGAGCAATGTAATAAACATTTGGTAACAACCCCCCACGTACTTGGATTTATTGGCTGGTTAAATCTTTAATGGTTAAAGTTAAAAACCTTTTATTTCAATGCCTGGGGATTTGCACAGCTGGAATGCTGTATTTTAATTTATTCAAATTGGAATGAGAAGGACAAAGTGACCAGGACATTGCCTTTTTTGGATGCCCCCCATCTGGTAGTAAGCTGGCAATAGGCACAATCATGCCTCAAGGATTCCCTCCTCACTCCAAACCAAGCCCAGAGAAAGAAGAGGGGAAAGGAGAAGGAAGCAGGCTGCGGGGGCCAATGTGGGTGAGTCCCTTCCTACTTCCACTCACCTGTTCTGATTCCCCACCCAATTTCCTGAGAAATCAAGGAGTATCTTCACCCTAGTCCTGCCCTCTAAGTGACCAGTCTTGGTGGGGTGATGCCCTGCTGGTTTCACCACCTTCAACATTCTGGTTGGGTTGTCTGGTCTGGAGACCTGGTGACAGCTGCACTGGCCAAGGCACGGGGACAACTGACCTGCTAGGACTTGATCATGTGATAAAGGGAGATGGGGGGCAATGGAAGATTATCAAAGCATACCAGAAGGACAGGATGAGAGGTAGGAGTGATGGAAGTGACAGCGGTGTCCCTGATGACACTTAAACAAATTCTCACACTCTGCACCAGGTCATTTCAAATTGCTTTGCATGAATTATTTCATGGATTCTCTAGTTTGGTATTATTTTATTCTCTTTTTATAGATAAGGAACTGAGATGCAGAGAGCTTCAGAAACTTGCCAAGGCTGGAAGAGATGGTGCCAGGCAATCTGACTGGAGACCCTGCAGTCTTCCTTGGGGATTCCAAGGATGAGAACAGGAATACCTGCACTCAGAGAAACCAAGAGCCTGAGGGATCGAGTCACTCATACAGTAGAACCAACAAGGTGAGTTCCATCGCTTCCAGGAAATTCTCATTCCCATGCATGTCCTGTAAACACACACCATCACTGCATCCAAGTATCCCTCGTGTACCTAAAAACACAGAAACACATGCTGACAAAGATATTTCATGCACTCATTCACTCACTTCACAGGCCTATGCTTCAGAAACACACACACCATGACACCTACACTTTCACACATATACACCAACAATTCTCACACCTGTGCACCAACAATTCAGACTCATCTTCTAGTACTATACATGCTTCCATGCACATACACCCATGCACACACACACACACACACACACACACACACACACCTAAATACACTAAAGGGTATACCAAGTCCAGTTGCTTCTTGATCCCTTTGAATTCAACATGCCTTCTTTCTCAAAGGTGGACTGACTTCATCTGTCTTGCTAATGGTGATCTACCCATTCAGAGATAAATCCAAAAGGATGAAGGATAAAGCATATGAATCAGATAGCCAGGGACATGAGATGGTCCAAGGGCTCCCAGGACAAAGTAGAGATAAGTAGGACCTTCCACCATCACTTCCAGCCTCCAATCCTAAGAGCCCTGGGTGCTTACCTTGAGAATAGTCAACCCAGCCTTTGCTAATGACTTTTTCTAGTTCAAGTTTAAAGGTCAAACCTGGGTCTTTGGTCACCCATAGTTAACTCAACATCCAGGATGAAGACTGAAGACAGTTTCTTGTTAAAGAAACTGGATTGCTGGGTTCAGGGATAGAAGACTCTTTATGGAACACGCTAAGATCCTAGTGGGTTTTCTAGCTCTGAAATGCTAGTATTTCTCATATGGACATTCATGGACATTCACAGGGTTTTCAATTTCAAGGCCCTTTTGCCTTTTTATGGGGTTTGATGTTCTCTGCACAAACATAGGTTTAATAATTGACAGAGAGCCAAGCTGCCTACTGTGGCACTTGTAGTTCTGTCCAGCAGGGCAGCAAAGCCACTCAGTTCCTGTTGCCCACAAAGCCATGACAGTCTGTCCCTCTGAAACCAAAGACTTTGCCAATTGCAGGAAGTTGGGGAATAAAAGAAATTTTTCAAATAAAAAGATGTCAATTTAACAGCCAGGGACCTGGAAACAGATGTTCCTCGCCTAGTCCAAGAACCGCCCACCACCCGCCCATCCGTCCTCCAGGTTTTCAAAGTCACTTCTTGTCAGGTGCCCTGGTTAAGAGGGAGAATTAATGAGCTGAGCTCCATTTTATGGCTGCCATCTGATGTGGGAGCTGTGTGCGGAGGGCTGCACGGACGGGCCAGCCTGGGCCCCAGCCCTTCCTCCAGCAGCTCAGCCCGGATCAAAGCAGAGAGCAGCTCAGCTTTTATAGCAAAATGATTAAAACCACGTGGGGCTTGTTTCCTCACACGTGACCTCCCAACAAAGTGCATGAGGGACCAGAGAAAAGGTGAAGCCAGGGGTCTGGAGAGGCCCCAGGAAGAGCAGAACCCAAGAGATGGAGACCCTAGAAAATGAAAACAGAAATGCACACAAACACATCCACACACACACTACCTCACATGGACAAACACATACACATAAAAATGTGCCTTCTCCCTGCAAGTTAAAACAGCCCAGAATGAGGAGCCAGAGGGCCTAATTAGCCAGGTCAGCGAGGCCTGCATAGCTAAATAAATAAATAAATCCTAGTTCTTAGATTACTCCTGGCCTTTGTAGAAAATACAATTGGATTGTACTTACAAAGCAAAGCCCAAATGTCTCTGCTGCACCCAAATAACTTCTCACCTATCTCCAGTCTTTGGCAAACTTTGTTACCCCTGAAAAGCACAGCTCAGAAATGGATTGATTTGATCACTCCATGGCCTTCCTGAGGTATTGATGAAGAATCTCCATCCCCTTGAGCCAGGACTGGACTTGGAATTTGATTCTAGCAAACAGAATGAGGCAAAGGCGATGAGCTGTCACTTCCAAGGTTAAGTTACTGAGATGGTGGCTTCCTTCTTGGGCCCCCAGTCTCACACTCACTCTGGAGGAAGCTGGCTGTCACATTGCTGCTGAACACCGACAGGCCACATGGCAAAGACCTGAGAGAAACCTCCAGCCACCCTGAGTTCCTGACCCACAAGTGCCAAGAGATCATAAATGTTGTTTCCCCTGCTAAATTTGGGAGTCATTTGTTAGGCAGACATAGATAACACAGATAACAAATACACCTGCTTCTCCTCTTCCACACCTGAGAATGTCTGCTCCCTCCGTCCTTTTCTTCGCCTGCTGTGCACGATGTAGGTGTTTCTCTTAGTCCATTCAGGCTGCTCTACCAGAGCTCCACGAGCTGAAGGCTTAGGTGGCTTATAAACCGTGAAAATGTGCTTCTCATGGTTCTGGAGGCTGGGAGTCCAGGATCAAGGTGCCAGTAGATTCAGGGTCTGGTGAAGGCCCACTTTATGGCTCCTAGATGACACCTTTGAGCTGTGTCCCCATATGGTGAAAATGGCATTGACAGCTCTCTGGAGCCTCTTTTCCCTCTTTGTCAGTACTGAGGATTGAACCCTAGGTGTTCGCACAGGGCTACATCCTTAGCCCTTTTTTATTTTTTATTTTGAGACAGGGTCTCACTAAGTCACTAAATTGCCTAAACTGGGCTCAGATTTCAGGAATCTGCCATCATGATCAGCTCTCTTGGGCCTCTTTTATTTTAATTTTTTTAAACTTTATTTTTTATTAGTACATACTTGTCACACATATTGACCACATTCATCATAGGGAATTTGTGCTGTACATAATACATCTTAATTCTTTTTTTTAACTCCCATTTGGGGCCTCTTTTATGAAGGCACTAATTCCATTCATGAGGGAGCCATCCCATGACTTAATTACCTCCCAGAGGTGCTATCTCCTAACACTGTCACCCTGGGTGGTTTAGGGTTTCAGTGTATGAATCTGGGGGGAAGGGGGAAACAACACACAGAAACATTCAGACAACAGCACATTCTACAAGTATTCACTGAATAAACTAATAAACGGGGATATAGGTCTCCCATTTTCTAAATACCTACTATTGCATAACACGTGCTCTCTCTGCATTACAACTATACATGTTGGCATTATTACTCCTCATCTTACAGAGCTTTCAACATGAGACTAGAAAACATTGCGCTATTTAAAGTCCCACGGCTAACACGGGGAGTGCTGCGATCTGAGGGTCCTGTGTCCTTTACACTTTCTCCACTCCAGAGGGTGGCTCCTTACATTAGCAAATACTTTCAAGGCAATGATCTCATCTAACCTTCACAATGACCCTGGGAGTCCCAGGGTCATAACTATCATCTCCATTTTGACCGAGAGATAGGAATCAAAGCTTGCCGAGGCGAGCATAACTCCCGGGTTGACACAGCTGGGGAACCGCAGAGCCAGCATTTCTTCAGTTCATCCAGAAGGCATTTGCTGAGCAGCACCCAGGTGCCAGACACCATGACTAATAGGATGTCGTCCCCTTCGAGTTCTCCAGTTCCCCTCTCTCCCCCAGCCCCTTGGGGCTGCATACTGGCCACTGCTGCGCGCTGAGTACTGGGAGTAAATGCAGGTCCTTGTCGGGGTCACTTGTGTTGCCCAGGCTCTGCCTGAGCAGCACTGAGCTGAAGGGAGATCGACAGGTGAGGGCTGAGAGCACCTCACCTTTGAGAAAGCAAATCAGGAATGACGATGGCAGAAGGGCGTTTTAAAGGATGGAGTAAGCAAGAGAAGGCTGAGACTTCAGAGCTTTTTAAAACCCGCCTTGTATCCCCATCCTCACCCCACCCGCCACTGGCAGCCGCCTCAATGTGTTTGATGTGTATCTTTTCGTTTTTGCCTTTGCAAAGGGCTTGTTTTTCTTTGTACAGTATTTTTAACTTATGCAAGTAATGTTATAATGTTTATTCCTCTTATGTTTTACTTTTCCACAGTTTCAGATCCATGCACGTTCCTGGATGTACAACGAATCCCTTGTTTCCAACTCTTACAAAATGTGGTATAGCTACCACATCTTACCCACCTCGCGCCCAGAGATGACATCAAGTTCCTGGCACCACCACCACGATTGCCACAGTGCTGGGGTGCACAATCTTCCACATCCCTTCCTGGGCCAGTCTGAGAGGGACCTCAGGCTTACAGGATCTGACCTGAATTCCAGTTCATACCCTACTCCCCAAGACTCTCCCAGATGGTGCGCCATCATATCCTTGCACAACTTGCTGCTATCCAGCTTCCTAATTCCTGCCAGTCTGGTCCTTGTAAAGTGATATCTCACTATTTCTTTGGCATCACTCTGATTATTTAGGAATTGGAGTAACTCTTCATATGTTTGGGGGACACTTAAATTCTCTGGATTGGCCTCATCAGACTGAGAGTGAAAGAGGAAAGATCAGCCCACTTAACCAGCCTGAGCCATCACCTGCCTGCAGGAATAGATGTTCCCCTTGCCTAGTGCTGCAAGTGGAGTAGAGCAGAGAATACATCATGCAATTCCAGGGGAGGCCAGATAAAAGCAGCTTAAAGGCGGCCTGGGCTTGTTGAGAACCAGGCAATGTTATACATTTTTCCACCCTTGCCCTTTTGTATCTGGGTGAACTGGCTTCTCTAAAGGCAATATGACTTGCCTAAGGTCGCATGGCTAGTAAGTGCCAAAGCCAGATCTAGTCCCAGGACTCCTACGGGAATCTCTTGTGACACGTGGCCACCTTTATTTATCTGTCTGGAGCAATCAGAGGAGGACCCTTGGAGGAGGAACAAATTACACTGGATGCTGAAGGATGGAGACCTTTCATGAGGGCAGCCAGAGCACATGGTATGAGAAAGAATTGCCAGGGCCTGGAGCACACCAGTTGTGGGGATCTCATCTTCCTGAAGAGAGCCTGTTGGAGGTGTTCTGGGAAGGGAGCATAAAGAACAGCCGAGGAAATGCAGAATGAATCCTCTGTCCTCGCTCCCTTGCCCCTTCTACAAAGCCCTGGGAGTCTCTCCTCCCTACGGCTCTCTGTGCCCCCAGATTTATTTTGCTTTCTTTCGCTAAATCAAACTTTATCAGACAGTTTTACTGTCAGCCATTAAACCAAAATGTGTTTGTGCAACAGTAAACACCTTGTTACTGCAGGGAAGGATTACATAAACAACAGCCGGGTGAGGCTCGATGGGCTGTGCCCAGGAGCCTGAAGCCTCCTGGTCAGGATGGAGGAGGCACATGGAAGGGCACCTAGAGGCATCCTAGAGCTGGAAGGCAGGGGATAGGACTCACTCTGGCCTGGGCTTCCACTGCAGAACCGGGTAACAGGCATGTATCCTCTCATCAGAAGAGTAGGCTGCTCCAGAGTCCTCACAGGGGACGCAGCCCTTGCCACAGACCTGGGGAGGAGCAGGAAGAAGGTACAGGGACCAGACCGGCCAGGAAGGGGAAGCCCAGGCAGGGGGCAGTGGGGCGGGGTTCAGGTTGAGATTGGTATTTGGTGAGATAATTATGGGTTGGGGGCTAAACAGGGGTGGGAACAAGATAAAGGCCAGAAGGAGTTAAGAAAGAAAGTGAAGGGTTAGTTCAGGCCCTGGTGACTGCTTAGCCCTGAGTGGTTGGCCACGGAGGGGAAAGCTCAAGGCCCCTTTCAGGATGTCTACACTGCCTTGGGATGAGTGGCAGAGAGGGACGTGACCAAAGGCAGGGCCAGCAGGCATGGGCAGCCCGACACTTCAGGTCTCAGGGCCCCTCTTAGAACGCAGCCCTCTCCACTCTCTCCCTCTCAGGACTGCGTGGGGGTGTGTGCTAGCTGGAGAGCCCTGGCTATGAGCTGTCTGTCTGAAGACCTTGAGGACACTAAGAGGGAAGGTGAACACAGGTCACGTGATTGCCCCAGCTGGCCACCAGGGACTGTGCTAGGAGCTTCTGCCCTGCCAGCGGTAATTCATTTTGATTCTGACACCTCCACTTTGAAACAGAAATTATTATCCTTTTATATCTTGCTACCTGTTCACATCAATGATCTTATTCCTTCTACACTACTATTATCACTACTATTAACTGTTCTTTTATTGAACGGTTACTATATGGCAGGTACTCTGGCTACATTATTTCATTCAATTGCACATCCAGCTTATGAGGCAGGTATTCTTATTCTTCCCTTTTATAAATGGGGAAATCAAGACTAAGAGAAGTAAATGTCTGAGCCAGAAATGGAGGACAAATAACTCTAATGTCAAAGCCCGATCTTCTTGTTTTGTTTTTTTTTTTGGTACCGGGGATCGAACTCAGGTCCTTGCGCTTGCGCAGCAGGCGGTGAAACCACTGAGCTAAATCCCCGGCCCTAAAGCCCGTTCTTCTTGTCTGAGTAGAAGGGGATCTGGAGAAAGAGATGGGGACACTGGGGGTGGGGTGGCCACACACAGAGAACTTGCCCTGGACACATGGCATGCAGATGTACCTATTAGAGAAGAGAAAGTAGACACTAGCTTCACTAGTGGTCCAAAGGAGTAGGGTGCTCCTGGGCTGGCGTGGCCCCAAACCCTTCCTCAGACACCAGAATATGTTCTCCAGAGCCCTGGAAGCTACTGGCCCTTGAGGCCGAGCCTGTAAGGAACCAGCCCCAGCTATCCGAAGTCGTGGCCTCTTTGCTCCAAAGCCCAAATTCTGAGGAGCACTCAGGCCACATTGGCCTTCTAAACTGCTCCCCAAGCACTTGGTCTCCTCCTTGCCACCCAGCACCCCAGCCCCCGGCCCTACCACTAATTGGGCCCTCAGCCAGGCCACAGCCTGGAGCCTGAGGCCCCACAACAGAAGCCCACATCCAGGTCAGCCCGACCTCAGGGCCTTAGATCGCTGGGGCTGCAAGTCCCCAGGTCACCTCAGTCTTTCTCCTCAGTTCCTGAGCACACGCAGGCCCCTGGCTTCACTGGCCATCTAGTCCCTTTGAAGTGACCAGGAAACCAAACAAGCCTGGACGCTGGGGACAGTACTAGCATCCAGGGTACAACCCTCGGGATCCTATTTAGCAAAATCTCAAGGTAGAACTTGAGGGGAAATATGGTTTAATATGGTGTCTAATATGCTGTTCCTAAAATTCTTAATTTTTTTTTTCACGAGAAGCCCTGCCTTTTTTTTTTCACTGAGTGTTATGCTTTGTGTTTAGATGTCCCCCCAAAGCCTCATCCAGATAAGGTGGGACTTTTATTTTCAGAGGCAGTTGAATCTGGAATGTGTGATGCTGGGGTTAAGGGCGTGTACATGTAAGTGATTAGCTTGGCACCAACCTAATCTGAATAAGATAAAAGGCACCCAGGGCCCCTGGGATTTAGCTCAGTGGTTTCGTCACCTCCTGCGCAAGCATAAGGACCCAAGTTCAATCCCGGTACAAAAAAAAAAAAAGGCACCCTAGTCTGAATAAGATAAAAGGGGCAGAAAGATGCTGTTCAACTCTCTTGTTACCTTTACTGCCTGTGCACACCATGTTGTTTCTCCTCTGCAATGCTTGTTTGCCATCCCAGCCTCAGAGCTAGCTGATTATGCACTGAAACCTCTATGAACTCTAAGCCAAATAAACCTCAACCTTTTTAACTTTGGGTGTCAGGTGTTTTGTCTCAGCCACAAGAGAAAAGTAACTAACACACTGAGCCTTGCAAATTTTATGTTTGGTCCTCCCCACCATCACTGCTGTTCCTGTGCCCTGGATACCCCAGGGCCAGTGTCAGATCTGAGAAGCCTGGTGTGGGCAGAAGCCCCCCCCCCCCCCCGCACACACACACACACACCTGGTCTAGGGGGCAAGTCAGGGCTGGCCTGGGAAGGGCACGGTTAGACTGTACTCTGGGTCCCTGGCATCTGGCACTCTAGAGACAGAGCAATGGGGAGGAAAGAGGTTTTCATCTCTGGAAGAGGGTGGAAGAGAAGAAAGATCATCTTCCAGGAGCTGCAGCCGGGGAAGTGAAACAACCAGCACTGCAGAAGAGGTGTCAGGTGCTGCTCAGTTCATCCCCCAGGGCCTTAGAACCACACAGCCAGCTTCGGGCACAGAGCTCCTACATCAGAGGGCTGGGGCAGGTGGGCTCAGGGTCAGTGTTCCGAGTTCAAATCCTGCCCTGTCACTCAGTAGGGTGATCTTGCTTCCCAAAAAAATGTGGTTTCCTCATTTAGAGGCTGAGAGAGGGGACTCTGCCTGAGGTCAGGGGACGGGGCTGTGGAATTCCACGCCTTCAGGGTGCCACTATCCTCCCTGTCAGACAGTGTGCTGGCCTGGGTGGTTATTCACACAGGCTGGGAGGATTTGTCAGGAAGGAAAGGATTCCAACAGTAGATGACATCAAGGAAATTCTTCCACACACTGTCATTTAAAGTCCCGCTTTTGAGAGGGGGATTCTTTTTCTAAAGGGAAAGTATAATTAGAGCCCATCCACTCTGTCTCAATGGTGCCTGCCTCTCCCCCCACCGTCCGCTACCCAGTCAGGCAGAAAGAATTGCCTGGAGGGAAGGGGTGGGGTGCCTGCCAGCAGCCCACTCTCCCATAACCCATTGCACTTACTGGCTTTTTCTCTAATATTTTTTGGAATATAACTCACAAAGTGTAAGTACCCAATTTTTTTTTTTTTGGTATGGGGGATCAAACTCGGGACCTTGCACACTTGAGAGTCAGGTGCCGGAACCACTGAGCTAAATCCCCGGCCAGTACCCAATTTTTTAAGCATTCAGCATGGTGAATACTCACAACCATACCCATGTAACAAACACCAAAACTGAGAACATTCCTAGAATCCCCAAAGTCCCTCAGATGCTCCCTTCAAGTAACTACCCCACCTCACCCCTGAAGGTCTGACTTCCAACACCATTAATTTTATCTGTTTTAAAACTGTGCATGACTTTTAAATTGTACATACTCACTGCACCTGGAATTTTTGCTCCACATTATGCTACAAATACGGAATTGTCTAGATTTTTCCCGTGTACACAACTGCAGTTCATTCCTGTTTCTGTGTAGTATTTTGTGTAGTATTCCTTAACTTTCCTTAAATTACCTATTCTGGGTGTTCGAGTAGCTTCCAATCAAATATTGGTTTTTAATGTCTTGTAATTTTTGAGTAGCTAAAAGATAGGCTCTTCAGAAAGTTATTTAAGAGATGAGGGCCGGGGATTTAGCTCAGTGGTCCTGCCGCCTGCCGCCTGCCGCCTGCCTCGAAAGTGCAAAAACCTGAGTTCGACCCCTGGTACCAAAAAAAACCAACTAATCCAGTGGGCCAGGGATTTAGCTCAGTGGTGCCGCTGCCTGCCTTGCAAGCCCAAGGTCCTCAGTTTGATCCCCAGTACCAAAAGAACAACAAAAAAAAAATCAAAAATAAAAAATAAAAGTTGAAATGTTTCATTACTGATAGGTTTTTTAAATGAGGAGGGTGAAAACTTCTTTTCTCTGAAGTTATGGTGTCAAAATCACTTGGTGTGAGGGCCGGAGATTTAGCTCAGCGGTTCCAGCGCCTGCCTCGCAAGCGCAAGGTCCAGAGTTCAATCCCCGGTACAAAAAAAAAAAATCACTTGGTGTGATATTTTCACTTCCAATGGAAGTCCTGACTTTAAACAGTGACTTTGAATAAATACATGCAAGCATTCTAAAGGCATTTGCTTAGGCTATTATAACAAAGCTACCACAACCAGGGTAGTTGAGAAGCAATAAAAATTTAATTCTCAATTCTGGAGGCTGAAAAGTCCAGGATCAAGACATTGGCAAGTTTGGCATCTGGTGAGGGCCCATGTTCAGGTTCAGAGATGGTACCTTCTAGCTAGCTGTGCCTTTAGAGATTAGAAAGGGCAAAACAACTTGTTAGGGTACCTTTTTTCTGTTTTGGGGGTAGACGCAGAAACTTCACACTAAGCCACATCTCCAGCCCCTTTTTATTTTTATTTTGAGATGGGGTCTCACTAAGTCACTAAATTGCCCAGGCTGAGCTCAAACTTGCAATCCTCCTGCCTCAGCCTCCCAAGTGCTGGGATTATAGGTGTGTGGGGAGCATAAAGATTTAAACCATAGCAGTGTTCCACAGAATCTTAGAACCAATTACAGTTTCACATAAATGTTGGTGCTTTTGTGTTAGTAAATTACTTTATGAAAAAGCAGGACCAAAAAAGATCTGCATAAAATGTCCTTCATACAGAAGAAGATATAAGAACACCCTCTGAAATGCCAAATGTGCCCCCTTTTTTTCTAAAATTTTTGGAGATACAAATGTGACTTAAATGGCCAAAACCATTTTCTTCTTCTATATTGCAATCATGAGAAAAGGAAGAGAAGGTAAGTATATATAATCATGGTAAATTAGTAATTTCCCTTGCCATGAATTTCTCAGTTACCTTAATGAATCACTTCTCTTTTTTTTTTGGTAACTGAGATTGAACTCGGGTCCTTGCGCTTGCGCAGTAGGCGGCGAAACCACTGAGCTAAATCCCTGCCTCAGTTAACTTAATGAGAGTACTGTATTACTGAAAATGCCTGAAGACTCATTTGGAAGACTCCCTATTTTTTTTTAAAACTAACTGCAGTACTGGGGTTGAAAGTTTTTACCTGCCAGAAAGATGCATTGGGAACATTGAAAACAATGGCCAGGAATTTCACTAGAGCCACTTGGGTGAAAGGTACTCGGTAAAGAGCTCTCACAAGGAAGAAGAAAAGATAGTGGGTATTCTTATCTATGTTACCTGCGCCTGGCTTACTGCTCTTCTCATGAGTAAAATGAGGATGATAATAAACACCTCCCAGGGTTTTGTAAGGGTGAAATTGGCTAATACATATGGAAAGCTGTCTACCCCACAGGCCAGCCCATAGCAGATATTCACTATATAAAGTATGAGCTATAGGAGCAGAAGAAAGAGGAAGTTTCCATTTATAAAGGAGTATTTATTGAGTCATCCATGTGAAAATGGATGCACCTTAAGACCATAATGTTAAGTGAAATAAATCAAAAACACAGCTTAAATACTGCAT